AGTTTTAAATAACAATTTTATATGTTTATACAAACAATTTAATCTTAATATTTTTTTCTAAATAAACTACTCATTTAAAATATATATGTTAAAAAATTTCTTGTTTTAATTAAATTTTTTGTTATTGATTTACATATTTTTTTTATTAGTTTGTCTTTTGAGCAATAAGTTTCCATTTTATTTTGACAACCATAGATTTGGATTTTTGATATAATTTTGTTTTATCTGTTTTGTTAGTTAATGTTTATCTTAATTTTCTATTCTACTATGATAATTTTATATTTTTGCATGTTTTAATTTATTAAAATTATTAATCTTATCTAATATTTTTATGTTTAATAAAAAATGATGATGTGGACAAATCAGCTTGGGTTTCTACGTCAAATATATACGCTCTTACTGGTCTAAGACATTACACAGACCACAACAAATATATTACAGTTCAGATTTTAATTGTTTGTCATAATTAAAATTTTAAAATAGTTTAATTATGGTCTTAAATACGGTTTTAATTATTTTTTTCAATATATATGATTTTCTTTACTAATCTATTTATATGTTAATTTCTTTTTTTTGTTAGAGAAATTTATATGTTAATTTACATTTTATTGTTAATAGAAAAATAAGATCTGCTTTACAAATTTTTTTTTATTAATAACTAACTTAAAATTGAAAACTTTCTTAATAACAACAAAAATGAAATTAATTAAAATTTAGAAATTTTCCTTATAACAATAAAAATAAATTAATTAATTTTAATATACAATATATATAATCTGTAACATATAAAAGTTGATGGCATAGTGCATTGCAGGCGTCCACATGGGATTAAAAAACTTAATCTAATTGGTCCATATCAGTATATTCACTAAATAAAAAAATATTAAGTATGATTATGACGGAAAAACTTGATTTAAATGGTACACATCAGCTTTTTAATCAAACCAATAATTTTTAAGTATAATTAAAATATTAAAAGTTAATTTAACAAATTATGTCAAACAAAAAAAAATTAATTGATCCAAATTAATATATTTATTAAATCAGAAAATATTTCTGAGACCTCGTTTGCTCCTTTGTGATAAAATCTTTTAAAAATATCTTTACCTTCTGCTGATTCCTTGGCCTTAACTTTATTATTTTCCATGCCTTCCAATTTCAAAATTCTGCTAAGGGATTTTGAATAAGAAATCAATAGGTTTCCTTCTTATATGTATATATATTGAGATAACTACTAATAAGTCATATTGATGTATTTAACTAATCTCTATCTAAACACAATTCCTCTTTGAATTAGGATCTATTTTTTTTTGGTTCAACTAATTAGGAATGGTGTATATTTTTCAAACACAATTTTTACAAATTTTTCAGAGATTAGTTAAATACATCATTATCTATAATTTATTAGTAGTTATCTCAATATGGAGTCTTATATTTAGTTAGGTTTGTCACATTTATAAAAATTAAACAACAATAAAAAGAAGAGACTAGACTTAAACGAAACGATGCATGTTTTTAATTCGTCAAAATTTGAAAGAAACTATATAGTAATTTATTACCATGATACACATAAATTTGTAACACAATATATATATATATATATATATATATTTTTTTTTTTATGAACTTTTGATAGCACCCGCTTATGTTGTATCCCACAAATTTGAACAATTTAGTTTTTTTTTCGATAACTAATTAGTGGAAACTGGAAATTGTCCTATCAGTATTCAAACCTAAAAATGAACTGAAGACGAAAAAACAAAAAAAAGAACACGTCAATGTTTTCTTTGTGTTCAACTGTTCATATGATTTGATAATTTAACAAGTTTTAAATCTTATCAGCAGATAAACGAGGACCTTTTCACACTTTTTTTTTTATCAACTGAATTTTCATTAGAACCACGATAGAGCATAATACAGGGTAAAATACAAAGAAAAATTATGAAGTAATTTTTGAAAGAAGTCGACATAATATTTAAAATAAACAGTTATATATAGCATGTTCAATCAGTATTATAAGTAAACTTAAAATTAATATTAAAAAAAGCATTCAAGTAAAAAATATTAATTTGATATATATGCTACATATTTTGAAAATCAACAACAAAATAGCTTAATCCGAAGAAAAAAATATATAAGTCCTAAGTATATCAAAAATCCAAAACAAATTTGCATAAAATAAAATAATATATAAAATTACTATCAAAAAATGTAAATTATTAGAGATTTTAAAATACTGGTATCGATAATGAATAATTATCTAAAGTTGCAATAGTTTTACAAAAGTTTCTAAATCAAACATATTTTTAAAATTTAAAATTATTAATACATTGGATTCTTCTGATTTAAAAACTAACAAAGAAAAATATTACATAAGTAACTTTACACTCTAAATTTAACAAGTAGCCAATCTGATTTTCATACATAGTTACTACTTATATTTGAATCAACATTAATAACACATGAGTAACACCTTATAAAATTCTATTTAAACAATAAATTATGACAAAGTTATGAATCAAACTCAATTTCATATATCTAGATAAAATATTCAAATCAAAATATACAGAAAGCATACAAAATATAAAACAGTTAAAAATAATATGAAGACTCCACACTACCGATCCTACAAGTTTGAAAACTAAAATTATCAAATATTAGACTGCCAAAATCTATTACTAACAAAGGTTGATGTTAAATGCCTCTAAGGGTGTCTACATAGGATTTAAAATATTTAATTATATTAGTACACATCATCATTATCTATAATAATTAATTTATTAATAGTTACTACTTATAACTTAGCCAACATAAACAGCAGATGAGTAACATCTTCTAAAATTTCCTTTAAATACTAAAGTATGACAAAGTTATAGATCAAACTCAAATTGAAATATATCTAGATAAACTATTCAAATCAAAACATGAATAAACCACTCAAAAGATAAAAACAGTGATAATGTGAAGATTCCACACCATCTTACATGTTTAAAAACAAAAATTATCAAATAGTTGACTGCAAATAAAACAGATCTTATAAACTGAATAGAGATATAACCTAAAATTCATAGAAAATCTGCTAGAAAAGCAAGAAGCAGCTTTACATGATTATTGTAGCATACCTAACAAAAGTAAATCTGAGTCAACATGAATCATATATTATATATACATATGTACATAACATCAGTGAAGCATTTAATCAAAAACTATATATTTGAACATATAAACATTGAAAAAGAAGAACTATCTTAACGACACTAAACAAAACACCAAAAAATTAGTAAGAAAATTATTCTCTAAATCACATGTATACACGTCAAAGTTGGATAATTCGTTAAATATTATTACTATGATTTTACTAAATAAGATTTATAATTTTATAATAAAAAATAGGTAAAATTATATATTATGTTTTAATTTTTTTTATATAAAAATAAAATTTCTATAAATATATTATAGTTTTAATAATTTAAAATATATTAGCCAAAAAAAGAACTAAACCAAATTATTAATACAGACTCGCGTGTAGCACAAGTTAAAAGCCTAGTATATATATATATATATATATATATATATATATATATATATATATAAAAGTGAGCGAAGGACACCTATTGATTTCTTACTCACAAACCCCTAAACAAATTCGTTTTAACAGAATTTAGATTTCAAAGCCATGGCAAATAATAAAGTTACGGCCAAGGAAATAGCAGAAGCTAAAGATATTTTTGATAGATGCAAAGAAGGTGACGACGTCGACGTCTCGGCTCAAGATTTATCCGACGCTCATAGTATACGTTTCAGGAAAGCACTCGAGGATATCAATGATGAGCCCATGTGTATGTGAGTCTAAAGATCATTATATGCTAATTAGTTTCCAGGAATTTCACATTGTATTGAGTTATTTCATATGATGAGAATCAGGAATTAGAGAGCTATATGAAAGAGATATATATATATATATACATAATAAATGAGAGAAACATATAATTAGTGAGAAGAATATATAATGGATGAATTGTGATTAGGGTAATCAATAATCAGCCAGAAACTCTTTCAATAATCAGCCAGAAAATCTCTACAGTAAGCTGTAAAACATCGGTAGAGTAGGGTAACAAAGATCCACAGAGGAACTGGTATGACCAAGCACATAGCAAGAACAGGAGAAATGAGACGAAGGTGTAGGATGATTGCAGCAATGCCCACGATATGACTGATACTTGCCATTATTTTAGCTCCAACCCGTTCGTTAAGGCTCCCAATTTCCGTTAAAAAGAAAGTAACAGACGTCACTATATCGACCAAGAGCAGGAAACCGTACATCCCCATTATGAATCTTACCAAGAAGAAGTAATCATTCTTTTTTTGGAGAAGAACGTGTAACGGAACAAGAGTGCCGATGATTAGAACCTGCATGACGACTCTATAAATCGCCGTATCACAACTGCATATAAATAAACAGATTTAAATAAGTTATTAGAAGAAAATATATATATATGTACAGAGGTTCTTAGAAAGAAGATAGAAATTCTTGGAAACTAATTAACATATAATTGATCTTAATTATAGACTCACAAACGCATGGACTCATGACCAAGATCCTCGAGTTCTTTCCTGAACTGTATATCTCTAGCGTGGGATAATATTTCCGAGACCTTGTTAGCTCCTTTGTGATAAAATCTTTTAAAAATATCTTTAGCTTCTGCTGATTCCTTGGACGTAACTTTATTGTTTTCCATGCCTTCCAAATCAAAATTCTGCTAAAAACGAATTTGTTTAAGGATTCTGAGTAAGAAATCAATAGGTTTCCTTTTTATATATATACATATATATATATATTGAGATAACTAATGATAATAAGTTATACTAATGATGATGTATTTAACTTATTATCTCTATCTAAACACAATTCCTCTTTGAATTAGGATCTATTCTTCTTCTTCTAATTTGGTTCCAAACACGATTAGGTACATACATCATTATTTATAATTTATTAGTAGTTATCTACATATAAGCGAGGGGAAGGAGTACACCTATTAATTTCTTACTCAGAATCCCTAGACAAAATCGTTTTGATTTGGAACTTGGAAGCCATGGCAGATAAGAAAGTTACGGCCAAGGAATTAGCAGAAGCTAGGGATGTTTTAGATAGATATAATCGCAATGGAGTTGTGGTTGTGGACGTCTCGCCTAAAGAATCATCCCACGCTCATGATAGAAAGATGAGGAAAGAAATCGAGGATAGCTATAACGATCCCATGTGTTTGTGAGTCTAGATTTAATAATACGTTGATTAGTTTCCAAAAAGTTCATCTTCTTTCTAACAAGCTCTGCATGTACATATTTTTCTTCTAATAACTTATTTAATTCTGTTTATTTGTGCATGCAGTTGTGATACGCTGATTTATAGGGTCGTCATGCAGGTTCTAATCATCGGCACTCTTATTCCGTTACACATTCATCTCCAAAACAACGACCCTTACTTCTTCTTCGTAAGATACATGATGGGGATGTACGGTTTGTGCCTTTTTTTCGAAATCGCAACCTTCAGAAGTGAAATCGCATCAAGTAAAGGTATTGGAAGTATCAGTCATATGGTTGGCATTGTCGCAATCATCCTACACATTCGTCTCATCTCCCAGGTTCTTGCTATGTGCATGGGCATACCAATTCTTCTGTGGCTCTTGATCACTGCATGCTACCATAGTCCATAAAGCTGTATCTGACGATATGACGCCATAATCTTCAATGTTTATAGTTGATATCAAATTTATTATTATGTGCTTTTTTTTACTTATAAGATTTGTGTTTTTGTTTTTTAATTATGGGATATCATGTCAACAGTATCTAGCGCTCATTGAATTTGATAAGGTTTCAAAATCAATTTAACTTAACTAGTCTTATATTTAGTTCGGTTTGTCACATTTTCAAACATCAATTAAACAAGAAAAAGAAGAGACTAGACTTAAACGAACCATACGATGCATGTCATAATTCATCAAAATTTGAAAAAAAACTATATAGTAAATGCTTACCAATACACATAATTCTGTAGTTTCTGTCTTATAAATGCTACATGTAAGAAATATGGTATGATTCATGAAGGCTATCATTGCTTACGTTTAGCTTCTCTACTATCTTATACTCTGTAAGCATCCAATCTAAAACTATGCTAAAATCATTCGGAGATTAAAATTGAATTAGAAAGTCTGGATGTTGTAGAAGGCTGCTATTATTTATTATTGATGAGAGCACCAGGACGATGCACTATTTATATCCGACATGATTGTCGATGAAGAAGAAGAAAGTTTGTAGAAAAAATGTTTAACAAAAACACAAATCTTATAATTCTAAGAATTTGGTAATACACAAGTTTAACAGCTGAAAATCTTGTGTTCAACAAATATACAGAGAGCCCCATGGTCCTTGGCCATGGATATATATATATATTAGGTGATCGGCCCGCACCGTATGCAGACTATAAAATATTTTATATATTAATTATATAATATATATTAAATATGCCTTATTTATATATGATTAATTATGTATTAATAATAACATTATATAAATATTTAATAATCAAAAATAACAACAAATCAAATAAAAAAATATTAAAGATTTCAACATAAATTAAAGATAAAAAATAATAATCCAGCTTTTTAAAATACTTCATTGAATAAAAAAATTAAATATAATAACTAAATAAAAGATTAAAATATATAATAAATTATTTTATTTTTATGGTTGGCATGTATGCATGTGCAAGTATAATTTTTTTATAGACATAATTAGTTATAATATTTAAGTTTTGATTAGAATATTATATATATGTAAGCATTATTTTTTTACACATGTACAGTTTTAACGTTTAACAACAATCACACAAATATTTTATATCATTTTGTGTATTTGGAAAGTTTATTATGTAAGCGTTATATTTTTATACATATATAGCTTTAATGTTTAACAACAATCGCATAAATGTTTCATATCGTTTTGTGGCTTTTGAAGACGTTTTGTTTTTTAGCGTTTAGAATAATATATAATTGCAAATGCAAAAGTTATATTAAATAATAATTAAATTCTTATAATATGTTTTGAATATTATTTATATTATATTTCTTTTTCTCCTTGCATAGTATAATCTTGTCAATATATATATATATTTTAAGTATACATTTATCATTGACATATTGCTAAGTAAACCAAAATGGGTTTTACCATCACTACTTATCATAAAAGCGGGTAGATAGTTGGTCTGCACATTCGTGCGTACCAACCACCTCACTGCTCTTAGGACATTAGCGATTTTTTTAATAAATACAAATTGACTAATAACTAAAATTAAAATTAGACTGTAATCGAGGTTAAGAAAATGTATGCACAATAAGTTTTCATGCGACTTTATTTTTGCAGAATTAATATTTATATCTACACACATATTTGTGAAAAAAAATCAAAAGTATTGTTTTTATGTGTTAAAAGAAAATAACAAAATATTTATTTATAATGTCTGTTTGATTTTTTTTTTTATAAAAAATATGTATTTCTATGCATGTAGATATGAGTTATAAATAAGTGAATTGTAATATTTAGATGTTGATTAATTTTTCTGATATTTTCCTCAAACGTTATGATTCTACACATTACAGTTTTTTGGCGTTTAACAACAATCACGAAAACTATTTCTATCGTTTAGTATTTAATCAAAAAATTTTATTTTTCAGCATTTTATGATATATGGTTTTTCAATCAAAATTATAATAAAAACATATTATAAAAATTTGTGAATCTTATTTTATAAAAATCTCTGGTAGCTATCCGCTCACCTCTTCCTCAATTTTTTTATAGTCTGCAATCACTCGCTTTCACAAACTCTTTGTAATCGCAACGTTTAAACCAGCTGGATCCTTAAGAGTTCTTCTGTTCCTAACTTTGATATATTTGTTAATCTTATATATAATAGATCATAACATATACAAACTTGATTCATGAAATAATATTTTAAAATGTTAAAAAATATATATATATATGCATGAAAGAATTAATATGCGTAAGATAATATTTTAAAATATTTTAAAATAAAAACATAAAATCAATCAAAATTATTCTTTTTTTTTCTTTTCGTAATCATATTTTAGGCAATCTATTATGAATATATATATAAAACAAATTGAAATCATAGTAATTATTATTTATTGTTTATTTGAATTTATTATTTTTAGTGTTATAATCTAGTATATTTATGTTATAATTTTATATTTTATTTAATTATAATTCAACAAATAAAAATATTTCGTTTATTTTATGAAATTTGTCATGTCACATTTTCATGTCACAATTCTATGTCACCATTATTTTACACTAACTTTTGCTAAAGTGATGACACATCAGAATTTTTCATTAAACTTGCTTCTCAAATAATAGTTAAGATAAGAAGAGCTTACTAGTCGTGGATCAAATAATTGTGTATCGCTAATCCTGAATCTACTTGTAATGTATTGTGTTATTTCATATGATGAGAATTAGGAATTAGAGAGCTATATGGTAGATATATATATATATATATATATAATAAATGAGAGAAACGTATAATTAGTGAGAAGAATATATAATGGAGTGATGATGAATTGTGATTGATACTCTTTCAATAATCAGCCAGAAAATCTCTAAAGTAAGTTACGTTCAAAGAATTAGTAGAAGCTAGGGATGTTTTAGATAGATATAATCGCAATGGAGTTGTGGTTGTGGACGTCTCGCCTAAAGAATCATCCCACGCTCATGATAGAAAGATGAGGAAAGAAATCGAGGATAGCTATAACGATCCCATGTGTTCGTGAGTCTAGATTTAATAATATGTTAATTAGTTTCCAACAAGTTCATCTTCTTTCTAACAAGCTCTGCATGTACATATTTTCTTCTAATAACATATTTAAATCTGTTTATTTGTGCATGCAGTTGTGATACGCTGATTTATAGGGTCGTCATGCAGGTTCTAATCATCGGCACTCTTATTCCGTTACACATTCATCTCCAAAACAACAACCTTTACTTCTTCTTCGTAAGATACATGATGGGGATGTACGCTTTGTGCCTTTTTTTCGAAATCGCAACCTTCAGAAGTGAAATCGCATCAAGTAAAGCTATTGGAAGTATCAGTCATATGATTGGCATTGTCGCAATCATCCTACACATTCGTCTCATCTCCCAGGTTCTTGCTATGTGCATGGGCATACCAATTCTTCTGTGGATCTTGATCACTGCATGCTACCATAGTCCATAAAGCTGTATCTGACGATATGACGCCATAATCTTCAATGTTTATAGTTGATATCAAATTTATTATTATGTGCTTTTTTTTTACTTATAAGATTTGTGTTTTTGTTTTTTAATTATGGGATATCATGTCAACAGTATCTAGCGCTCATTGAATTTGATAAGGTTTCAAAATCAATTTAACTTAACTAGTCTTATATTTAGTTCGGTTTGTCACATTTTCAAACATCAATTAAACAAGAAAAAGAAGAGACTAGACTTAAACGAACCATACGATGCATGTCTTAATTCATCAAAATTTGAAAAAAAACTATATAGTAAATGCTTACCAATACACATAATTCTGTAGTTTCTGTCTTATAAATGCTACATGTAAGAAATATGGTATGATTCATGAAGGCTATCATTGCTTACGTTTAGCTTCTCTACTATCTTATACTCTGTAAGCATCCAATCTAAAACTATGCTAAAATCATTCGGAGATTAAAATTGAATTAGAAAGTCTGGATGTTGTAGAAGGCTGCTATTATTTATTATTGATGAGAGCACCAGGACGATGCACTATTTATATCCGACATGATTGTCGATGAAGAAGAAGAAAGTTTGTAGAAAAAATGTTTAACAAAAACACAAATCTTATAATTCTAAGAATTTGGTAATACACAAGTTTAACAGCTGAAAATCTTGTGTTCAACAAATATACAGAGAGCCCCATGATCCTTGGGTCATGGATATATATATATACTAGGTGATCGGCCCGCACCGTATGCGGACTATAAAATATTTTATATATTAATTATATAATATATATTAAATATGCATTATTTATATATGATTAATTATGTATTAATAATAATATTATATAAATATTTAATAATCAAAAATAACAACAAATCAAATAAAAAAATATTATAGATTTCAACATAAATTAAAGATAAAAAATAATAATCCAGCTTTTTAAAATACTTTATTAAATAAAAAATGTAAATATAATAACTAAATAAAAGATTAAAATATATAATAAATTATTTTATTTTTATGGTTGGCATGTATGCATGTGCAAGTATAATTTTTTATAGACATAATTAGTTGTAATATTTAAGTCTTGATTAGAATATTATATATATGTAAGCATTATTTTTTTACACATATACAGTTTTAACGTTTAACAACAATCACGCAAACATTTTATATCATTTTGTGTATTTGGAAAGTTTATTATGTAAGCGTTATATTTTTATACATATACAGCTTTAGTGTTTAACAACAATCGCATAAATATTTCATATCGTTTTGTGGCTTTTGAAGAAGTTTTGTTTTTTAGCGTTTAGAATAATATATAATTGCAAATGCAAAAGTTATATTAAATAATAATTAAATTCTTATAATATGTTTTGAATATTATCTATATTATATTTTTTTTCTCCTTGCATAGTATAATCTTGTCAATATATATATATTTTAAGTATACATTTATCATTGACTTATTGCTAAGTAAACCAAAATAGGTTTTACCATCACTACTTATCTTAAAAGCGGGTAGATAGTTGGTCTGCACATTCGTGCGTACCAACCACCTCACTGCTCTTAGGACATTAGCGATTTTTTTAATAAATTCAAATTGACTAATAACTAAAATTAAAATTAGACTGTAATCGAAGTTAAGAAAATGTATGCACAATAAGTTTTTATGCGACTTTGTTTTTACAGAATTAATATTTATATCTACACATATATTTGTGAAAAAGAATCGAAGTATTTCTTTTATGTGTTAAAAAAATAACAAAATATATATTTATAATGTCTGATTGATTTTTTTTATAAAAAACATGTATTTATATGCATGTAGATAAGAGTTATAAATAAGTGAATTGTAATATTTAGATGTTGGTTAGTTTTTCTTATATTTTCTGCAAAAGTTATGATTCTACACATTACAGTTTTTTGGCGTTTAACAACAATCACGAAAACTGTTTCTATCGTTTTGTATTTAATCAAAATTTCTTATTTTTTAGCATTTTATGATATATGGTTTTTCAATCAAAATTATAATAAAAACATATTATAAAATTTGTGAATCTTATTTTATAAAAATCTCTGGTAGCTCTCTGCTCACCTCTTCCTCAAATTTTTTATAGTCTGCAATCACTCGCTTCCATAAACTCTTTGTAATCGCAACGTTTCAAATCAGCTGGATCCTTAAGAGTTCTTCTGTTCCTAACTTTGATATAATTGTTAATCTTATATATAATAGATCATAACATATACTCCCTCCGATTCAAAATAAGTGTCGTTTTAGAGATTTTTTTTTGTTTCACAAAGAGTGTCATTTTGTATTTCCAATGCAATTTTCTAAACAAAAATCTTGTTTTAACCTTATTATATTAATGTAGTAATTAGAAAGAGAATGTTATTTAACTTATTTTGTGTGTGAACAAAGGGTAAAACAGAACTTTTAATGTTTTTCTTAATTTGTGTGAAAAGTGTCAAAATGACACTTATTTTGAAACAGACTTATTTTGAAACAGAGGGAGTACAAAACTTGATTCATGAAATAATATTTTAAAATGTTAAAAAAATATATATGCATAAAAGAATTAATATGTGTAAGATAATATTTTTGAATATTTTAAAATAAAAACAAAAAATCGATCAAAATTATTCTTTTTTTTTCTTTTCGTAATCATATTTTATGCAATCTATTATGAATATACATATAAAACAAATTAAAATCATAGTAATTATTATTTATTGTTTATTTGAATTTATTATTTTTAGTGTTATAATCTAGTGTATTTATGTTATAATTTTATATTTTATTTAATTATAATTCAACCAATAAAAATATTTTGTTTATTTTATGAAATTTGTCATGTCATATTTTCATGTCACAATTTCATGTCACCATTAATTTATACTAACTTTTGCTAAAGTGATGATACATCAGAATTTTTCATTAAATATGTTTTTCAAATAATAGTTAAGATACATCAGAATTTTTCATTAAACATGTTTTTCAAATAATAGTTAAGATAAGAAGAGCTTACTAGTCGTGGATCAAATAATTGTGTATCGATATATATATATATATATATATATATATATATAATAAATGAGAGAAACGTATAATTAGTGAGAAGAATAGATAATGGAGTGATGATGAATTGTGATTGATACTCTTTCAATAATCAGCCAGAAAATCTCTAAAGTAAGCTGTAAAACATCGGTAGAGTAGGGTAATAGAGATCCACAGAGGAACTGGTATGACCAAGCACATAGCAAGAACAGGAGAAATAAGACGAAGGTGTAGGATGATTGCAGCAATGCCCACGAAATGACTGATACTTGCCATTATTTTAGCTCCAACCCGTTCGTTAAGGCTCCCAATTTCGGTTAACCAGAAGGTAACAGACGTCACTATATCGACCAAGAGCAAGAAACCGTACATCCCCATTATGAATCTTACCAAGAAGAAGTAATCATTCTTTTTTTGGAGAAGAACGTGTAACGGAACAAGAGTGCCGACGATTAGAACCTGCATGACGACTCTATAAATAGCGGTATCACAACTGCATATAAATAAACAGATTTAAATAAGCTTATTAGAAGAAAATATATACAAGTATAGAGGTTGTTAGAAAGAAGATAGAAATTCTTGGAAACTAATTAACATATAATTGATCTTAATTATAGACTCACAAACGCATGGACTCATCACCAAGATCCTCGAGTTCTTTCCTGAACTGTATATCTCTAGCGTGGGATAATATTTCCGAGACCTTGTTAGCTCCTTTGTGATAAAATCTTTTAAAAATATCTTTAGCTTCTGCTGATTCCTTGGACGTAACTTTATTGTTTTCCATGCCTTCCAAATCAAAATTCTGAGTAAGAAATCAATAGGTTTCGTTTCCTTCTTATATATATATTGAGATAACTAATAAGTTATATTGATGTATTTAACTAATCTAAACACAATTCCTCTTTGAATTAGGATCTATTTTATTTTTTGGTTCAACTAATTAGGACTTGTGTATATTTTCCAAACACGATTTATACTAAATTTTCAGAGATTAGTTACATACAGCATTATCTATAATTTATTAGTAGTTATCTCAATATATATAAATATATATATATATATATATTGATTTCTTACTCAGAATCCCTAGACAAAATCGTTTTGATTTGGAACTTGGAAGCCATGGCAGATAAGAAAGTTACGGCCAAGGAATTAGCAGAAGCTAGGGATGTTTTAGATAGATATAATCGCAATGGAACTGTGGTTGTGGACGTCTCGCCTAAAGAATCATCCCACGCTCATGATAGAAAGATGAGGAAAGAAATCGAGGATAGCTATAACGATCCCATGTGTTTGTGAGTCTAGATTTAATAATACGTTGATTAGTTTCCAAAAAGTTCATCTTCTTTCTAACAAGCTCTGCATGTACATATTTTTCTTCTAATAACTTATTTAATTCTGTTTATTTGTGCATGCAGTTGTGATACGCTGATTTATAGGGTCGTCATGCAGGTTCTAATCATCGGCACTCTTATTCCGTTACACATTCATCTCCAAAACAACGACCCTTACTTCTTCTTCGTAAGATACATGATGGGGATGTACGGTTTGTGCCTTTTTTTCGAAATCGCAACCTTCAGAAGTGAAATCGCATCAAGTAAAGGTATTGGAAGTATCAGTCATATGGTTGGCATTGTCGCAATCATCCTACACATTCGTCTCATCTCCCAGGTTCTTGCTATGTGCATGGGCATACCAATTCTTCTGTGGCTCTTGATCACTGCATGCTACCATAGTCCATAAAGCTGTATCTGACGATATGACGCCATAATCTTCAATGTTTATAGTTGATATCAAATTTATTATTATGTGCTTTTTTTTACTTATAAGATTTGTGTTTTTGTTTTTTAATTATGGGATATCATGTCAACAGTATCTAGCGCTCATTGAATTTGATAAGGTTTCAAAATCAATTTAACTTAACTAGTCTTATATTTAGTTCGGTTTGTCACATTTTCAAACATCAATTAAACAAGAAAAAGAAGAGACTAGACTTAAACGAACCATACGATGCATGTCATAATTCATCAAAATTTGAAAAAAAACTATATAGTAAATGCTTACCAATACACATAAATTTGTAACACAATAAAATTATTATTTTTTCGATGAACTTTTGATAGCACCCACAAATCTGTACAATTTAGTTTCTTCGATAATTAACTAGTGGAAACTGGAAATGTCTTACCAGTATTCAAACCTAAAAATTATAAACACGTCAATGTTTTCTTTGTGTTCATATGATTTGATAATTTAACAAGTCTTATTAGCAGATAAACGAGGACCTTTTCACATTTATATTGACTATTTATGCATTTTTTAATGTGCATGTGCCAACACAAAACAATGAGACATAATGCTGGATGGTTCATAGACCAGTAATACATTTAAAATGAATCGAATGCATGTGCACGTAATTGTGAATATTCAAATAAAAATCTCTTACCAACATTCACAATATTATTGCAATTCAATCATTTTAACACCTATAAAATCAGAAATATTAATTCAGTCATTCTCTTCATTTTATATTTCTCCAAAGTAGGGCTAAAAAGAAAATACAAAATTAGAAAATCATAAAATATTTACATATTACATTAAGAAAAGTAGATAAATATTCAATGGACAACAGCTAAGAGATGCCTCTGTTTTTCTCTGTACTAATATCGACAAAATTCAAAAGACAGAGAAAACACTACATTACTTCGCTACTAACAGATCCAACGGCCCACAATTTTTCCCACTTTCCAAGATATAGCCCCATTATTTCACGAAATTACCAAATCACCCCTTCTGGACCCACCACCGTCCAAGAAACCCTCACCGTCCGTTTTGAATTCTTTGATCTGCCGGCGATGACGGAAGCGAGAGATAGACCTCACACTGTATTGAAGTTTTTCCGATCCTAAACCCTGGAACCACCGTGAAAGCGACACGTGGCTCAGATTCCGGCGAACCCTCCGCCGCCGGTAAAAACGCCTCTTCAGCTACACATGTCATATACACTTCAGAGAATCTACAGCCTCTGCGTACTCGAAAGATCTCAGCTTCAGGTTCGAAAGAGAAAGCCAAGCAATGCAGGAGCCAGATCCGTTTCGCCATTTCGAGAAACCCAGTGCATAAGCTCGTCTCCGGGAATTCACCAGCAGAAATCTGGTTTCTCATATGCAAATGCCCAAACAAAGCCTGCTCCATCTTCGGATGTATCAGCTGCAAGAACTTGATTCTGCAGAACCTAGCGAATCTCGATTTAGGTCGTGCCTTGATATAATCCTTTGACTTCATCGACCTGAGTTCTACAAACCTCTCAAAGAACATGTCACTCTCGGCTCTGCTCTTCTTCTTGTGGCTTCTTGAATCGCTTGAAGTCGAGAAGTACGGTAGATGAAACGCCTCGAACATTACATTGGAGACAAACTGTTCGAAAGCGAAACACTTGTGGTCTTGCTTGTAATAGAACACACCGGGCTGGATCGTATTAGCAGCCATGGAGATATCCCATCCCGCGAGTTTCATTTGCTCGATCATCAGCTTGACGAATCCTCTGATGGATTTGACTGTGTGGTGAAGATAAGTGACGAAATGGGTTGAATTCAGCGCCGACAGGTGAAGACTGTCTAAAGGATTGCAGAGCTGTCCGCTCTGGTTGAGTCTCTTCTCTGTCAACTTGTTCTGTTTCGTCGACTCTTCAAGCTTCTCTCTCAGAAACAGAATCTCCGAGTCTTTGAGCTTATACTGAGACTCGAGCTTCTTCCCCATGATCTCATACGTTTTCAGTAGACTCCTCAGCTCTTGAATCTCCGCGAGTACCAGAGTTCTTTCGGGATTCGGGTCCAGTTGTTTCTTCAAGAAACTTTGTTTCAGCTCAGACAATGACTTCAGCTCCGCTACAACCAAGTTGTCTGATTTTTGAATCCCAATTGCGTCATACGGAGACTGAGAATGCTGCAGCTGCGCATACCCCGCTTTGATGGAAGAAACCGTAGCAAACAGCTTCGCAAGAAGAGCTTCCAACGCCAGACTCCTTTCATACTCTTCCTCAAGCTTGTAGAAAGACTCGGACAACTTCGCATTCTTGGAATCGAACTTTATCTTCTTCATTTCCTCTTCCGGAGCAACACCCGTCAGCTTATGAATGTTCAGAACTTTAGCAAACGTGCGTCTGAATTTACCCTTGGGAGCAACAGCCATTGGTTTCACAGTTTCCATCTGCAGTTCCATCACACAGAGGAGCTTTAGTAAGGAGAAAACAGTATCAAGAACACGGCAACGAATAAGACAAAAGAACACCACTAAAGGAATTGAAAAGCAATGGAAAGAAGCGAACTTGTTGTAATGATAATGTTTTCGATACATAAAGGAAAAGAGCAACAAGCTTTAATACTTGGATCAAGGACCGTTAATGGAGGGCCACAAGCTTCTTTATGTTATATACTTGCTTTATGTGAAGAACTATATGAAAAAGCTCAAAGTATAAAGAATGCATATATACAATGAATAGTTCTTTAAAATATTCATAAGAGTTGTGAAGACTTCATGGTTCATGCTCTGAAAATGCTATTTTTTTAAGTGAAGGAATAAAAAATTAAGCAAGTTGTGTGTATACCATTTCTTTTCAAGAATGAAACCAGTCTACTCTTTTTTTAATTTGTGGGGCTATTTAGTCAAAATCTGCTGCTACAGAACCAAAAAAGTCTAGGGAGTAACAACAAATAATAATAAAAGATTGCACCCAAATTAAACTCTGCAAAAACACATGACTTATGCACAGAATAATCCACCACTCTGAAAAAGAAACACTTCAAAAACCCTAATGTGAAACCAGTACAAACATATAAATACTATAATGCCTTTATAACCATATTGTGGAAACAGTACAAACCTTAAAACCAAATGTATGGGTAAAACTGTGATTATTTAACCATTTGAAACAACAGGACAACCTCAAAGCCTGACAAACCCACCAAACACATTTAGTACAAGCAGACACAAGACCCACAACCTATGTCTCATTGTGGTTTTAGACTCTACACGCACTAGCAGCAGCGATCTAAACGCTATCTAGTTAACCAAACAGACCCCTAAGAAACATATCTCATCAACAAACCCAGAAATTAAAAAAGCAGAGAATAATTATACAGCCTGAAGATTTGAACATAAACAGTAAAACCCTGATATTTCAGATTTCAGATTTTCAAGTCAAAGTTTGACAATTTCAGAAGCAAGCTTCACCATACAAACAAGCTAATAAAGTCAGTGGTCGTACCTTTGCGAAAGTTCCAAGCTTTTCTTCTGCTTTCTCTTTGTTTAATTTTGAAGTTCTCACTTCATTGTTGAGTAACTCTGAAGAGAGAAACTGGAGATTTTGACAAACCAACCTCTGCTTAAACCCTGCAGACTAAATCAATTCAAACATAAATCACAAATCGACCGAAGAATGAGAAGGAAAACAAAAAAACAGAGAACCGAAATGAGAAAAGAAGAAAAAAAAGCTCAAGAAACAAGATAAACAAAAATCTGAACTTTTTTTTTTGTTGAAAAAGAAAAGTAAAGCTCTAAAACCCTTTTTGAGGATTGACTATATATATAACTGACCAAAAACAATTAATGCGAAGCATTCGACATTATTGTGATTAGCTAACAACAATGGGAATTAGGCCCACGGCCAGCGACTTGAACCTTCCATTGCAATAATAATTAAAACCAAAATTTGAGAAATAAAAAAAACTAAAGCAATAATAGAAATATGGAATCGAATCATTCACCAGAAACCCACATGAAACTTACCAAACAAAACGTAATTAAGGGGAAAAATAAATAAACACTCACCAAAGCAGATCTCTCAGTTCTTGTTCGATCGTAAACGAAAAATTATAAGCAATGAACAGATTCGTCCAACGCTCGAGGAGGTGAAAAAGAAAGAGGAGAGAGAGAGAGAGAAAGTGAGAGTAAAGAGGTAGATGAGAGAGAAAATGAGAGCTGGGTGAGAAACGGTCACAGAGAGAGGAGACGAAAGAGTTTTTAGAAGAAGAGAATAGTGTGAAATGACAGAAAAGGGCAAAAGACAGCAGAGTAAAGCAAAGCTAGCTTAGCATTGGGAGTTTCAAAGCTGTGTTTTCCGAAAATACCCTTAAAAGCAGAGGCTATTTACACCGGCCGTTGTAACTTTCGTTCGGGGAGAGATCTCGAGATGCGCGAAGGGTGTTTTTGGTCATTGCCGCAATACTATCGAATGAAATATTTGTAAGCCCATATCTTAGTGATGTTATGAATGTGGTTTGGGTTATTATTGGGCTTATAAATGGATCAATTAAGATATTAGTTATGGGCTCAGTTATGGCCCTAACTTACTAAAAAGCTTTATTTCATTTTTAGATAATAAATGTAAATGTTTATGAAATATAGATTTATTTTTTCGGGTCAAATCTCTTATACAATTTCAGTCTAAAAATAACTCTTCATTTTCATTTTTTTTTTTCTTTTTTAATGTTTTGTTCTTCTCTGACTTTTCATTTTAGAGCGCAATATATTAAATAATATGGGACCAGCTGATTGTAACATATGATGATGATATGAACGAGTTCGCAATCTGTCCTAAATTTCTTATGACGACATGTCCGCAAATTCTCTCTTCATCGTTTAGGATAGTCATGAAAAAATTAATATTTACAAATTTGTTGGTTGGTCAATTACAATACAATTTAGCGTTACAAAATCGGAAACTGTAATTGACTAAGAAAAAAATATGTCAGAAGAACAAAAACAAAGCTGACTAAGGAAAATTGTGACAAAAAAAATGTCAAAGATGGCAAATTTGACATAATTTGCTTGGATTTAATAATTCATTAAAACGAAAAATTAATTTTCTTAATTACTTGTCTTAATAATAAAATGCAACAGCAAACAATCACCACAGTACAAATTATAATTATAATCTATATATATAAAGTAAGTTTGTCTCTTTTCTAGTGCTGTCACCTCATCAAACCCTTCATTAATTATTTTTTATTTAAATTCTTTTAAACACACAAAACAACATTAACATTTAATATAAGAAAATAGTAATATTTAAAGGTAATTATAATACACAAAATATTAATATTCAATATAAAATTACAAAAATAAATAGACAATTATAATATATTGTCAGAAAATAAAATAAAATAAAACTAAAAAATAATTACATACACTAGCTATAAATATTTTAATATTCAAGGCTAATTTCTGCAAGTGTATGATGGAATTGGTAATTAAAAAGATAGAAAAAATATAAATTAACATTAACATTCAATATAAAAAATAACAAACATAAAAACACAATTATAATGTATTGTCAGAAAATAAAAACCAACCAAATACAAAATAACAAAACAAAAAAATAATAATATACATTAGCTCTAAGTATTTTATGATTGAAAACGAAACTTTACGAGTGTGTGACGAGAATTGGTAACTAGAAAAACAGAAAATAATAAAAAATAATATTAAAATTTAATATAAAAAATAGCAAACATATGAAATAAGTTTTTCTCTCTTTTCGTGCTGCCACATCAAACCACTTTATTAATTAATTTCATTTAATTTCTTTTAAGATGCAAAATAACTTAACATTCAATATAAAAAGAGCAAAATATTTATAATACACAAAATATTAGCATTCAATATAAAAAACAATTATAATATGTTGTCAGAAAATAAGAAAAAATAACATAAAAAAATAATTATATACATTAGCTCTGAATATTTCAAAATTTACTGTAAAAATTTACGAGTGTGGGATGGGAATTGATAATAAGAAAAACGGAAAACAATAAAAGTTAACATTAATATAAAAATAACAAACATATAACGACAATTGTAATGTGTTATCAGAAAATAAAAATTAACAAAATACAAAATAACAAAACAAAAAATAAGGTATACAATAACTCTGAGTATTTCATGATTCAAAATGGGAATTTACAAGTGTGTGACGGAAATTGGTAATTAAAAAAAAAACTAACCTTCAATATAAAAAATAGCAAACATAAAAACACAAACAATGTGTTGTCAGAAAATAAAAGAAATCAACAAAGTACTATAAGAAAATAATGACATACATTAGCTATGAGTAAATCAAGATTCAAAACGAAAATTTACGAGTATGTTATGGGAATTGGTTATTAAAAAGACGAAAAATATTTTAAAAAATAGTATTAACATTCAATATAAAAAGTAGGAAACATAAAAAGACAATTACAATATGTTGTCATAAAAAAAATACAATATAAAAAACTAATAAATAATAATATATATTAGTTATGTTTATTTCAAGATTCAATGCAGAAATTTACGAGTGTCTAAAGAGCATTGACAATTAGAAAGACAGAAAACAATAAAAACTAATATTAACGTTCAATATAAAAATAGCAAACATAAAAAATTAAACTATAATGTATTGTTAGAAAATGAAAAATCATCAAATTCCAAAATAAAATAAAACTAAAAATAATGATATACATTTGCTTTGGGTATTTCAAAATTCAAGGTGGAAATTTACGAGTGTGTGATAGAAATTAGTAATTAAAAAGACGGAAAATAATTTCCAAAGAAAATCCAATAAAAATGGAATAGGTAATTCGGGTAAAGAGACAGGTTCGAGAATTTCATTATCTAAAATCTATTGACAAATTCTCAATAATTTGGATGAAAGTCAACTTCATAATAAATATTTTGGGAAAATTCAGAAAAGTCGAAGAAATTTTAGAACATTATATAATTTTAAGAATTTTAACTCTCAAATGGATATTTCAGATATTTAATATCATATATGTTTTATTTTCTTATTTGTTTGAATTAACCAAATAATTTTGAATAGATAACAAACACAATATAAAAATAATAAACAAATCATAAAATCTTCAAAACTATATGATACAATAAATATAATATAAAAATTACATAAAATGATTATCAAATTTGCTGTGTTGGGTATATCACAAACTAGAGTTTTAAAAAAATAGAAAATTTGAGTCATGTACAGGTGAGAATTAGAAATTCATCTTAAAATTTTCAAAAATATACAATACAATAAATATAATACCAAAAATATATAAAAATAATTTACATAGCTGCGCGTAGCGCGGATCACCAACTAATTAATTATAATTTTCTAGCTACCAAAAATCACCACAGTACAATTATTTCCTATCATTACACTAATGGAAACTCGTGAGCTAAAACATAGAAACAAAATATATATTCCTGAATCAACGATAAAGATTAATGCTTTTTATCGTAATTTGTTAACTGTAATTATATAACTAGGTCTATAGGTTGGTTCCTTTGTCCTAGTGAATCATTCAACGCACTATCTTCTTCTTCCTTTTCTTCTTCTTCTTCTTCTTGTCGAGAGGTCAATGATGACAGATTAACTTACAAAACCTCAAGCTTTGTTTATTACAACTTCAAAAGACGCTTATCCAATAACTAAGCAAATTCAACTTTCATGGATTCCTCAGCTCCCAATTCATGAACTTCACTGCCTTACTAAGTATGTTTTCTTTCCCGTTGATCTTGATTTCAGTCTTATAATCTGTTAATTATTAGAATGTTTTGCATTCTCTGTTTTGTTATGGATTTCGATGTGTTCTGAGAAAGAAAGAAAGCAATTTTGAGTTTCTGGGTTTTCAAATTCTTGAAATTAGATTGTTTTTAGAGCTCTTAAATTTCTCGTTCTTAATTTCCACTTAAATCTGTTTAATGTAGCTTGCTTTCTAACTAAACCCAAAGTAAAGCTTAACAATTTGATTAAAACATTATATGAAATTTAATTAAAATGAGCCGTTTCACACATTGTTCGTCACGTTCATAGCACAAAAAAATCAGATCACACCATTTTAATATATTTTTTTTCACCATCGTTTCTCCAACTTCCTTCACGTTTCTTCCCTTTCAAAATCACAATGTCACAAACATTCCAATCCCGTTTACAAGATTTGAAAAAGCCCTCTCTTATCGATAAACCAAGCTTTTGTTAGTTGCTGATTTAGCTACTTCCTCCTATGTGTCTTATTTCCAGGATATTGAATCTCAAGATGAGTTTGAACCGGCGAAATTGGGTAAAACATGGATCCAATCTCAAATTAGTGATCTTGGTTCTGTGGTCGGTTTGTTATGTTGGTTATGGTCAGTTTGAGGACACCAATCAGTTCGAGAATCCGGCTGTTCTTCCTCTCGTTACACAGATGGTTTATCGTAGGCTCTCTAATAGCACAGCTTCTCTCTATCGCGAGTTCGGTACGAGAGCAAAGTTCTGCGTCAAAGACCCGTTAGCTTTCTTGCTCTTAAACTTACATCTTCTTGCACTTTCTTTGCAAGAGTCTTGAGATATGTTTGCTCAGATGATCCTTGTGTTGAAATGATGATCTCAGGGATGATGATTGGAATAAAGCTTTTAATTTCTCCACCAACTTGAACTTCTTGTCTTCTTGCATTCAGAAAACCCGAGGTACGAATTGAAAAAGAAGAGCTTTCTTTGTGTGTTTCTTTCAAGTTACAAAGATTTGTGACTCTGTTTTTTTGGTTTTGTAACAAGGTGATATTGGTAGGCGTATCTGTACAGCAGCAGAGATGAAGTTCTATTTCAATGACTTCTTCAGCAAATCGAGTAACCCGAGCTTCTTGCGACCGAACGGGAACTGCAACTTGACTTCATGGGTCTCCGGTTGTGAACCGGGATGGGCTTGCAGTGTCGACCCGACCCAACAAGTCAATCTTGAAAACTATAAAGATTTTCCAGAGAGAACAACAAACTGCATGCCTTGCTGCGAAGGCTTCTTCTGCCCCCGTGGCCTCACTTGTATGATACGTAAGTAACTCACAAACTCTCTTCATGATTTCTATAATGGTCTAACGCAGTTTCTAAATCTGTCTTCTGTTTTTTTTTTGTAAAAAGCTTGCCCTCTTGGTGCCCATTGCCCCTTAGCTAGACTTGATAAGAAAACAAACTTATGTGTGCCGTAAGTTTTATACATTTCTCTCTTATCTTATATATGACACATGTGATGTTATTTATTGCTGGATTTAAGATGTTGAAATGTGAAATCTTTATATAGGTATACTTATCAATTACCACCGGGACGACCAAACCACACATGTGGAGGTGCAAATGTATGGGCTGATGTCAGAACCAGCAGCGAAGTATTCTGTTCTGCAGGATCATATTGTCCAACCACCACTCAGAAAGTACCTTGTGATAGTGGGTATTCATTTTTTTTAACCCTTTCAAACTCTGTTTTATCATTGACAAATCATCCTTAAATCTTTTGTAATAATTAAGTTAATCATTTTATGTTGACTCAGGCACTATTGCCGAATGGGGTCTACATCTGAGAAACGTAAGTCTTCTAAATAATCATAACGAAGTTATGTTTTGTTTTGTTTTTTAAACAAGCTTCTTTGTCTTGCAGCTTGCTTTAAGTTAACTTCTTGCAACCCTAAGACAGCAAATCAGAACATGCATGCTTTTGGGGTTATGATCATTGTAAGTTTTCTGTTCATTTTTTTTTATAATTTGATACTGAGTATCCAAAAGATTAAGCCTTTTTGAGTTGTTTGTGCAGGCTGCTTTGAGTACTATCCTACTCATTATATACAATTGTTCTGATCAAATCCTAACGACGAGGGAGAGGCGGCAGGCGAAGTCAAGGGAAGCAGCGGTGAAGAAAGCCAAAGCCCATCAGAGATGGAAAGCTGCTCTAGGTATTGCTAAAAGGCATGTAACTGAGACGTTTTCAGAGAAGAAAACCACTCATGACGGTGATACTCACAAGATGTTGGTCAGTGGGTACTCTTCTGAGATAGACTCGTCCGTATATTCGAGTCCCGGGATCGAGGATGATGCTGCAGCCGCCACCGCCGCGAGGAGGAGTAAGGAAAGAGCGAGTCTTGAAGCGGAAGGAAAGAGAGTAAAAGAGCAGAAGGTCAAGAAATCGCAGAGCCAGATCTTCAAGTATGCGTATGACCGGATCGAGAAGGAGAAAGCCATGGAGCAGGAGAATAAAGAGCTTACCTTCTCTGGAATAGTCAACATGGCTACTTACTCTCAGATGAGGAAGAGGCCTCTCATGGAGCTTTCTTTCGAAAACTTAACCCTTACCTTGAAATCCAGTGGTAAGCATCTGCTGAGATGTGTTACCGGAAGCATGAAACCAGGTCGTATCACGGCCGTGATGGGTCCTTCGGGAGCAGGGAAGACGAGTCTTCTCTCTGCTTTGGCTGGGAAAGCCGTTGGATGCAAGTTGAGTGGTTTGATACTTATAAACGGGAAGCAACTATCAATCCATTCGTATAAGAAAATCATTGGCTTTGTGCCACAAGATGACATTGTTCATGGGAACTTGACGGTAGAGGAAAACCTTTGGTTCCACGCTAAATGCAGACTACCCGCGGAAAAGTCGAAAGCCGACAAAGTCCTTGTGGTTGAGAGAATCATCGACTCTTTGGGGCTACAAGCTGTGAGGACTTCTTTAGTTGGTACGGTGGAGAAGAGAGGAATCTCAGGAGGGCAGAGGAAACGAGTGAACGTTGGGTTGGAGATGGTAATGGAGCCATCGATCTTGTTCTTGGACGAACCTACTTCTGGCTTGGATAGTGCATCATCACAGCTTCTTCTCAAAGCACTTCGCCATGAAGCCTTAGAGGGAGTCAACGTTTGCATGGTTGTTCACCAACCAAGGTAATCATCAATCATATAATGTTTTTAGATGAAAATGTCGTCGTCATCATCAAGTTATTTGTTTTTGATTCATGATGCTTCTTTGTTTGCAGTTATACTTTGTTTGGAATGTTCAATGATCTTGTACTTCTAGCTAAAGGCGGCCTTACTGTTTACCACGGACCGGTGAAGCAAGTCGAACCATACTTCTCAGGTCTTGGGATAGTTGTTCCGGAACGTATCAACCCTCCTGACTATTACATAGATGTGTTGGAAGGGATTGTGGTTTCAAGTAGTGACTCTGATGTTGGCTACAAGGAACTTCCTCAGAGGTGGATGCTTCACAAAGGGTACTCTGTTCCATTAGACATGCGAAGAAACAATCCCGCTGAGCTCGCAGCGAATCCAGACGTAAGGAATCATCCGAACGCTAACGCAGAACAAACGTTTCTCAGAGAGCTGTGGGGAGACGTGAAGAGTAATTTCAGGCTGCGTCGTGATAAAATACGGCACAACTTCGTCAAGTCGAGAGATTTATCCTACAGAAGAACCCCTACTATGTGGCTACAATACAAATATTTCCTTGGAAGGTATACTTTGTAACATTAATCACCACGGCTTTCTTGCATGCGGTGTGATTGATTCTTGGATGTTTCTTGATTTCAGGATAGCTAAGCAACGTATGAGAGAAGCAAAGTTACAAGCCACAGACTACTTGATCTTGTTGCTAGCTGGAGCTTGCTTAGGATCACTGATCAAAGCAAGTGATGAGAGCTTTGGAGCACCTGGTTACACCTACACTATCATCGCCGTTTGTAAGTTTGGAAACTTCCTTTCTTCTACAAGTTTTTTTTTGTAGCAGGTTTCTTGATATTCTGATTTTTTCTTTCTTTCTTGTGTCAGCTCTTCTGTGCAAAATAGCAGCTTTAAGGTCCTTCTCACTAGACAAGTTACATTACTGGAGAGAAAGTGCTTCAGGGATGAGTAGCTTTGCTTGCTTCCTTGCCAAAGATACAATGGACTGTTTCAATACACTTGTCAAGCCATTGGTCTATCTCTCCATGTTCTACTTCTTCACCAACCCGAGATCCACGTTCTTCGATAACTACATTGTTTTGGTCTGCCTCGTATATTGTGTAACCGGTATCGCGTACGCGTTGGCTATCTTCCTCCATCCTGGCTCTGCTCAGCTGGTGAGTTTTCAGTTCCGGTTTCGGTTTCTTGCAAAAGAGAAGAAGAAATCACCATCTCTGCCTCTGCTTAGTCTATAAATTTACAAACTTTTTTGGGGGTATTTTGCAGTTTTCTGTTCTTCTTCCAGTCGTTTTAACACTTGTTGCAACTCAACCCAAGAATAGTCAAGTTATGAGGATCATAGGTGATTTATGTTATCCAAAGTGGGCTTTGGAGGCATTTGTGATTGGCAATGCTCAAAGGTATGAAAACAGAGAATTAAAAACGTTACCTTATTTTGGGTTTTTGCATGAAAAGCTCTGTTTGATTCGGGTTTTTTGCTTTTTTGGGTTTCAGGTACTATGGAGTATGGATGATTACTCGATGTGGCTCGCTTATGAAGAGTGGCTACGACATTAATAAATGGAATCTGTGTATAATGATATTGCTTTTCATTGGTTGGGTCACTCGTGGAATCGCCTTTGTTGGGATGCTTATACTTCAAAAAAAGTGACGAAATGTCTCTTTCCTCTGCAGTTTTAGTTCACAGGGTTTCATTGGCCAAGATCTTAGCTTTTGTTGTGTTATTCTTTGTTCATTGTCTTATTAGAGTAACAAACTTTGTTCAGATCTTTTGTGAGATCAATGTTAGTTTTTATACTCAAAGAGAAGACTAAAATGTTGGCTTGTTCTTAGATTTCGGAATAGAACCGAACCAAAACATAACCAAAAACTTGTTCAATCTTCTCTTAAAGACCTTAAAGCGATTGCTTGAAATGTACGTAATAAAAAGAATCATCCACCGGCTAACAAAAACACAAATCCTTCAATTTTAATCATCCAAACGGCTCGTTGATCCATTGATTAATCCGGTTTGATGTTTGACTTTGGTGATGTTTGACCTGAATCGGTTTGCATGTGAAATCGTTGTATCTTAGTGTTGTATATGAATAACAAGGAGTATGGGTTCCACGACGTATAAATAATTTAGTTTTAAACTTTCGGATTAACTAAAAATTTGAAATTGGAAAATGACTTATTAAGAAATTTGATTCTTTTGATTTTGATCGTTAAAATATTTTTTTTTAATATTTGTTTGAAGGAAAAAAGAATGAAGAATCTTTATTTTGTATCATTGTCGATGGGATTCCCTTTTTTTCAAGGTGATGATTATCCTACTGTTTTCTCAACCTGATACATGATTAACTTAATTAATCCATGATGATTATCAAAGCTTAAATTATTAAAGTGGACAAAGAAGAATAGATTCTTCAATCTAAAGAATAATCACGATGACGTGGCGAAATTTGATTGGTGAAACAACATTGGCTCACATTGGATTTAGAAAACCCTTTAAAAGCTGTGCCTTTAATTGAGAAGACAGCGAAGCCAAAACCACTTTCCCTTTTTCGTTATGCCCAAAAAAAAAAAAAATTCCAAAAAAAAAAGTTAAGACCTTTATTTATCAACAACAACATCACAATAATGTCACAATCATCAACACCGATTCATCGTCATCTTCAACTCGGTCTTGATCTTCTTCTTCTTCCTCTTTCTACCGACATCTAAATCTTTGTTTCAAGTTTCTTTCTTGCTCTATCTGCTTTCCTCAAAGGAAAGAAGAGGAAAGCTTGCGACTTTGATTGGTTTCGATGAAGCTTCGACAAACCCAGGGTTTCGTCTGAATCATTTTGGTCCTGTTTCCGACAGATTTTGTTTCACTTGAACGGGTTTAAGAAGAAGGAAGGAGCAAGAAGATAATAAATGGGTTGTGCTGGATCGACACAGTCGCAAGCAGAAGGTGAGATTGGTAATACTGTTGTCTCCTTCGAATCTCTCTTAGTTTATCTCTCTACTTGTTTGATTTGCTGGGTTTGGCGGAAAGAAGTCATTTTTATGTTTCGTTGGAGAAGATAAAGATGTGGAATTTCTATTTTTAGATGTGATTTTTTTCTTGCATCCATAGGAGTATGACAGAAACCCTAGATGTGTAATCGATATGTCGGAATGTTGATTCCTTCGACTCTAGAGTAGATTTTGTTCGTTTTGGTAGATGAAATTAGGGCTAATCGAATCTGATAAGGTTAATTTCAGTTTCAAAATTTCATAGCAATGGCATGGACCTGGTGTTATCCTCTAATTGATCTCTGTGATGATTAGTCTTATGTCAAATTTTGATTTCAGTAAAGGATTTTCAGTTGGACCAAACAGCTAGTATTCAGATGTCTATGTGCATATATTTGATACATTAAAAGAAACTAAGTGATGAATCTACACCGATATTGCTAGTTTCTAGGAATTGGTTTACTTTTAAATTGGACACAAGTGTGATGAATTCATATTGTTGTAGGATGCTTGGACACAAGTATGATGAATGCATATTGTCTGATTGTATTGTTTAATAAGGCAGAAGATGGATAATTTTTTTCTTCTTAATTATAGGATCAGTGAAGAAAATTAGGAAGCCGAAACCGTGGAAACATACACAACCGATCACAAAAGCTGAGCTTATGCAACTGAGAGAAGAGTTTTGGGACACTGCTCCTCATTATGGAGGTAGAAAAGGTAATTGATACAAATCTCTTTAGCTTGCCTTTGTTTCAGATCTTTGAGTGGTGCTTTCTTTTTATACAATTTGATTACAAAAGAAGTGAAAGATTTGAGAAATGGGGTAGTAGTGATTAGGAGGGAGGAATAAAAGAAAAAAACAGAGGTTTATAAGGGCTCTACCGGGTTCGAACCGGTGACCTATTGATCTGCAGTCAATTGCTCTACCACTGAGCTAAGAACCCTTTTGTTGTTACGGGATGAGTTGACCAAATAAATTTTTATGTAACAATCATTGATTTAATTTAAGGATTTTGTAAAATGGGGTAAAAATAGAGGTGTTAAAGGGCCCTACCGGATTCGAACCGATGACCTATTGATCTGCAGTCAATTGCTCTACCACTGAGCTAAGGACCCATTTGTTATTTAGAGATGGTGACACATAAATAAGATTATAAGAATTGGTATTGCTTTAACTGGAAAACTTGTTATAAGTTAAGATTAAATGATTGAAAGGATTAAAAAATAGTGTATTAAGGGCCCTACCGGATTCGAACCGGTGACCTATTGATCTGCAGTCAATTGCTCTACCACTGAGCTAAGGAACCTTATTGATACTTCAGCCTCACATATATTAGATGACGTTGCAAAATTTCGGTTTTTGAAACATTTTCCCAGGAGAAAAGACTGATGCCATGGAACTTCAATTAGATTGTGTCAGAGTAATCATAGGACAGAAAAATTATCTGCTTTGTGCTGTTCTTTTTGGTTGTTTGCATTCTGATCTTCATATTCTTTATGTTGGTATCTTACACACTGGTGATCGCAGAGATATGGGATGCACTTCGTGCTGCTGCTGAAGCCGACATATCTCTTGCGCAAGCAATCGTAGACAGCGCAGGAGTCATTGTTCAGAACACGGATCTCACAACATGCTATGACGAGAGAGGTCAACATTCGATTTCTTTTTTCCTGATTACGATTGTTCTTCATGTTCATATTGGTTTACATACTTCTTAAACTAGTACTGTTCTTGCTCTGCAGGTGCTAAATATGAGCTACCTAAGTATGTTCTAAGCGAGCCTACCAACTTGGTGGAAGAAAATTGATTAAAAGATCAAGAACATTTTGAAAAGACACAGGAAAAGAGGCGGGAGTAGCAAAAATGTAAATCTTGTGTGTAAGTAGTTACATTAGGATTCTCTGCTTTTGTCTATTTAAAAACAGCCAACAAAAATCCCCACTTTTCTCTATCTCTGACTTGTATCTAAGAACTCAGATTGTCACTGAAGTTCTAAAGACGGGTTTGTGGGTTTTGAATTTTTGATCTGTTATTTACACGATTGATATGCTCTGATGAGGAACTTTTATCATCAGTCATGGCCATGCTCATGCTTGTACTTATCTCGTTCCCTATCATTTGGTAATACTTCTTCATAGTGTTTATGTTCTCAATTCTCTTTGTTTCTCTATGGATTGAAGCTTCTTCAATCCTCTCCATCTCCACCATCTTCTTACCTTCCAACATCTTCACAACGTCAGACATCAGTGGTCTATCACTCGGATCCGCGCTTGTACACAGTATCACCACTTGAATCATGATCATTGCTTCTTCTCTGTTGTAATCTGTTCCTAGTCTCGGATCCACCAGTTCCAACAGATTGTTCTGCTCCCTCAAAACTTCCACCTGCAGAAACAAGAACATGTGTTTTGGAGTTATTGTCTTTATGGTTCTTATGGAAGTTAGTGGTATTAGTAAAAGAATTATTCTTATTACCCAATCAATAAGGTAGAGAGTATTATTGATATTGGATCGGTCTATCTTATTGCTTCCTCCATGAACAATCTCTAGAGCTACAATACCAAAGCTATAAACATCAGCTTTGTCCGTTAAATGCCCTCTCATTGCATACTCTGGAGCCATGTAACCGCTGCAAAATAAAAGTTGTGTTATTCAAGAAAACCTCACATAACATGGAACTGTTCTCATCGATACTTTCTATTGTTATTGATCTGACTTACAATGTTCCAGCAACTCGAGTGCTGATGTGAGTGTTGTCCTCTTCACTAAGCTTGGCAAGACCAAAGTCTGATATTTTAGGATTCAGTTCTTTGTCTAACAACACGTTAGTGGCTTTGATGTCTCTGTGCACAATCTTCAGCCTCGATTCCTCGTGCATATACGCTAGTCCTCTCGCTACACCGATACAGATCTTCCGCCTTGTTGACCAGTCCAATCTCAACTGAGTTTCTAGAGGACCTTTATCAAGAAAGTGAAAGAACGGTTTGTAAGATATAAAACTTAATTCAAATTTTGATTGTGTATGCTTTTAGGGAGCTAGCTAGTGTGATTGTTGCTAACCAAACAGTGCTCGAGCGAGGCTGTTGTTTTCTACAAACTCATAGACTAACAAAAGCTGGTCTCTTTCAACACAACATCCATATAGCTTGACAAGATTCGGGTGGTGCAGAGCTGAGATCATGCCAATCTCATTCAAGAACTCGCGGTTCCCTTGTTTTGATCCTGTCGAAAGCTGTTTCACCGCTATTATTGTTCCATCCGACAACTTTCCCTATAAACAAAACTCTTTTTAGCATTGTCCATTAATAGACATGTTTTTTGAGTTGTGTGATCTTTCTTACCTTGTGAACAGGACCAAAACCGCCTTCTCCAATCCTATTTGCTAAATCAAAGTTGTTTGTAGCTGCTTTGATTTGCTTCAACGAGAAAGAATTAATCATAGGATCCAAAATCCTGAAATCTGAGAGAAGAATAAACAAACCATGATTAGGAAACACATATATATATATATATATATATATATATATATATATTATAAGTCAGTCACTTAAATGAATATTATGTATATAGCTTATTTACCTTCATGACTACTTCTTTCTATTGGAGTTTTCTTGCATCTCGAGCCACCTCTTTTAATGAGAATACCAATTAGAAGAAGTATGAGAGCTACGAGAAATATGAAGACCATCATTGCAGCTGCGTGGAGAGAAATACTCTTATCTCTTCTAGGTGGTGGTAGATTGATATCTGTTCACATAAAGTGTTACATTCTCGTTAGAAAAAAGATATATTGAATACCAAAAAAAACTTAAAATAGTTTAGCTTTGTGTTTACTTGAATTCACTGATATAGCAGATATGAGAGGACCATAAACATCATCTTTGGGAATAACCGTGGTTCCTTTCCCGGCCCAATACAATCTTATCTCCAACTTTCCATCTGTTATCTCGACAGAAAATGTCTTAACGACAACGATTCCAACACCTTTTGCTTCCTGAACGATATTGAAATCCTTCACCACGAGCTGTCTCTACAATATTTTTCAACCAAAGCTTCAAACTATGGCCATGGTTTGTTAGACATATTAAGATGTATAGTTGTTTGAGAGTTACCTGAATGTATATGTCGAAGACGCGTCTGCCTAAGCTTTGATAAGTATTGTTACCACTGAACATAATCTCGGCGAAATGGAGATTAACATTGTAAGATCCATTTTCAAGACACAATGCGTTGTAAGTGAGTGAGATGGGTGAGAGACGAGCTTGCATGTAGAGGCTAGAATCTACCACGTTGAGCTCTGATGAGTTAGACTCGATCGTTACTCTATCGGGGACAATTTTATCGTCTACAAACACTCCTATGTTGCTTGAGAACCATCCGTTTTGACTTTCGTATATACTCTCAAGTCTATCGTATTTGTCAGTTTCGTATATTTTCCCGTTGATTGACACTTCATCTCCACCACAGTTTATATGAAGACCACTAAAATCTATAACACGACCAAAAAAAAAAAGTATGAAGCATGAATCAGACGTAGACTAAAATTTCAGTGACGGATTTGTATGCAACTATGCATGCATGTGGACTTACTTTTTGGACAATGGTAGCTTCTCATATATGAAACTCTGAAGCATACAAAATATATGTTAAATCTTTTAGTGCATGCATGTTTTATGTTAACGTATATAAAACAATAAGATTATTGATTTTCTTACACATCATTGTATTGGCATACTGCATTGGTTGGATCTACTGAGAAATTGTTGTAACTAAGATCACTACAAAATATATAAAATCCAGTAACCAAAGAACACATGTTAATTATGATGTAACATTTGATTTTACCAATGCACTTTAATTAAAGATGTAAGAAAAAAAAAAACTCACATTCTATATCCTTTGTTTACCATCCAATTTGGGATTGACCCGTTCAACATGTTTCCTGTGAGATATCTGTAAGAAAAAAATAACTTAAACCATATTCTCACCAATTACACAAAAATACAGAAAGAAGAGAAAGTTATAAATCATACATGTAACATCCGTTACTAAGATTAGAATACGTGCTAGGGATGGTTCCACTCAGTTTGTTGAAGCTAAGATCTCTGTAGAAAGATTAATACAAAGTTAGTTTAGTTTAAAATTCCATCCTCGTATTGATTAAATTATTATATTTGTAGTCTTGTAGATATACTAACAAGAGCTTTAAGGAGGTAAATTTTCCAAGATATACAGGTAAAACTCCTGTGAGATTGCAGTGCCTAAGAATTCTACAACGACAAAAGAAAAAGCAGTGAGTGAATTTTAGGGATTAATGTCCAAAAAAAAGATTTCAGATGTAGTTTTAATCTAAGACTCACAACGTTTCCATCTTTTTCATGTTCTTTAGCTGTAGAAATGGAGTTTCGGGTCCATCTATGTCACTGACTCTCCTACAAAGTTTTAGATATGAGAAAGTAAATTTGACATTGAAGACAATGGAATGAGGATGAAGCCTATATAGATAGTTTATAGCTTAATGTAAACATACAAGTCCTTTAACTCTATGAGAGGAGCACTGTTAATGAGAATTGGTCCGACTAAACCACTTGCTTGAATATGCCTGAAACAACACAACATGTTAGTTACTAAATCAATAATGTTTAAAGGAGGTAATAATCCGAAAACCGAAAATAAGAGATCTTACAGTCTCTCAAGTTTAGTCCACTTTTGGATAAAATCTGGAATTGTTCCTGTCAATTGGTTGTCACTTACACGACTATGTACAAGTTTAAAGAAAACAAAATCAGTATCTATATATATATTAAGCCAAAAAAAAGATGTTTACTAATCAAACAAAGATACTTACAAATCTCTCAAAGTGGTTAGTTTTGCGAATGTAGTTGGAATTTCTCCGATGAAGTTGTTTGAGCTAAGAACTCTATAAGAAAACAAATCAACATAGGTTTCACGTTTTGGTATTACAAAACCTAACATCTGACTGCAAACAAAATACAAGAACTCAAAACTCGGAATATCCTTACATTTGCTGAATGTTTGGTAGGTTCCCGAGCTCCCGAGGTATTTCTCCTGAAAGTTGATTGGCTTCCAAGACACTAGAATCGTAAATTTTTTTGAAAAATAATTAAATATGTTATTGCCAAACAAACATAATTAGCTTCAAAAAAATTAGTTGAACTCACAGGTTAGCAAGAGTTGTAATGTTTCCAATCTCCTTAGGGATTTGACCAGTTAATCGGTTTCCAAGAAGCGATCTATAAACATTTCATCAACATTGTATAGTTACTCCAATATCTATAAAACTATATATGTGCTATATTATTATATGAATATGCAAAATGTACATGTTTACAAGTGGCAAGACTCCCCATTCAGGAGGAATGGATCCATTGAGATAGTTTCTAGAGAGATCACTACAACAAGAAGAATGTCAGTTAAGTTAGTTTGGAAAGGGTGAAACTGTAATTAGTCATATCTAACTTTTTTTTGGGTTCTTGCTTACATCTCTTGCAGAAAAGGAAGTCCCACAAACTCTTTGGGAAGAGATCCTTGAAGATTTTCTTCCTTCAAATCTCTGTCTCAAAAAAAAAAAAAAAAAAAAAATCAGAAAATTGACTCAACAAGATAATCATAACATGGAAGAATCAAAGAGAAAACAACTCGCACATGTTGGTGATATGGCAAATGGTTCCATCAACGAAGGAGCAGTCACAAGTAACGATGTCTTTCCATCTGTTGATGGTTGACCCTTCACTTCCAGAAGATGAGACTTCGCATGGATCCCCATTCAAATCAATATTCGTCTTGTTCAATGTGGTTAGTACAGCTTTAAAGGCCTCCACTACAAATCATTCATACACATATAGATTATATAATTATACAAATGACACAAATGAAAAACTAAGAACATATCATATATTACATATATCCACCTTCTTGTGTGGGCAAAGTTGCAGATAATGCGCAACCAAAGAGGAAGAAGAGAAGGAGTAAGAAGAAAGTGAAGAGATCAGGCCGATTGAACAGCATTTTTTGCCTTTCTTTTGGCTTTTTTAACATTAGAATCTAGATTTTTTATTTCGTTTTGTGAGTTTGTTTGTGACGAGTAGAAACAGAGATTTGCGAACAAGTCAGAAATGGAGAGAAGAAATCAATTAAATCAGATATTCATGCATAAAATTAGCATACAATCTTTTAGAAGAGTAACATATTTAAGAGAATAACCCTCTCGTAAAAATGGTCATTATTATTGATTTTTTTTTGGGCGTACATAATGATTAATTGATTATGGACCGTTATGACTCTGATAATGATCCTAAGAAAAAGATTTGTTTTTCTTTACCGTCTTTACATAGTATATATCTAGTACTTTTGATATATGTACGTGTTATTAAATGTTAAGTACTGTATATAGGCTAGATTGAATTCATTTTGCCTAGATCTCAAAAAAGAAAGGCATAGTAACAGAATCAACATCAAATGAAAATGATCTAACTAAATAAAACATATGTCAATCGTTACGTTGTGATGAAATACACAATATAGATATCAAGTTTGCAAAACAAAAAAACTATAAGGGACAAAAAGAAATAAATATAACATCAGTAAATTACTTAGAATTATTTATTTAAGTGTGTATGAAAATGAAAATTCATTTTTAGTTTTTACCGTTTGTATATGAAATTAAGTTGGTTCTTTTCAAATTTTTTATAAATCCGAGAGTTTGAATATAAATATAATTTATGTATAAAACATGAGTGACCATAATCTAAACCGCATGAAACCAGAAGCAAATAAGTGAAAGCGGAATCATATGAAAAACACTGAAACGATTTTTTTTTTTTTTTTTTAAAGAAGCATGTACTTATGGAAATCATATATATAAATGTATATAAAGTTAGACATTATATTATATTAATAAATAATTATAGATAATACAAATTTAATCTATCTATCTTTACATGATTTAACTTAAGTAAAATAAAATTTTCAAGTTTCACTTTTATTCTTAAAATTATTTGTTGTGCAAAAAAAAAATTGTATAACTTAACTTTTTCGAGATAAATTTATTTATCTAATCAGTTGAATCACTTCAAATATTTCATATTGATTAAAATAATAATTTTAAATAATATATTTTTGAAAATAAAAGATAAAATTAGTGTACACAAATATTATTAATATGGAAGCTTGCATTTCCTGGTTTCCAACACACTTTTAAAGAAATATGTTTGAAAATTGAAAGCGTTATGAAAATGAGCTTCTGAAAGTTTTTGAAAGCTTTTGATTTTGATTAAGCATACCTCTAAAGAAGCTTTTATGCTACACTTTTAATATTGAAATTTTGAATCAGATATCAGAAAACAAATTTAAATAATTTTTAAGTACATGAGTAAAACAGAGGTAAACAGAGGAAACAGTTCAAACGAATGGGTTGTGTTGAGTTAACTCGTAACAGCTTGCAAGGAGCCGTTGTGGTAACTGGTAATTAGTAGAGGCAACTTCATAGGGGTAAAATTGTCAAGTCAAAATAAAGAATGTACTTTCCAAAATCTGTCTCAATGTCATTATGGTTAGGCATTGTAACTGTAAGAGGTTTTTGTAAAAGTTTTGTTTTTGTTATAAAAGGGAAAATGCATAGTTTCGGACTTTGAGTAATAGGCTTACATATTTAAAGGACCAAAATTTTGGCTTCTTCCCCTAAACATAAAGAAATGGGGCACACAACTCACAAGTGCCAAGACTCACAACTACAACTTGGTTGAATAATTGATGTGCTATCTATTTTGAAATATACAAATTAAATTACGAAAAAAAAGTCTAACTATGTTAGAAATTCAAAAAAATTAGATCCATAATAAGTTTACAAAAATGTATTTTTCTAGGCTTTAAATCTGAAATTTGGTGTAAAAGGTATTGGTCAACTACTGTGACAAATGTCTTTACACGATCAATTCTGACATTTTGTAAAATCTATTTTAACACGTTGGCTTATTTATATATAAACTAAAATCTTAGGTTTTGAAACGAACCAAAACGTAATTAATCATAATGAAATTTAAAATGATAAATTTTATTTAAAACCTACGCTTGTGACTGTGACTGTGAGTGATACAACCGGTTAGAGAGGTGTTACGTTGTTGCTTCAGCACAATTAGATACTGTATATGAGGAAGAGATGATTGCTGTATGTGGATTCGCCACAAATGTTATCAAATGCTCGTCTTCGGTCCAAAATGGAGACTATTGGTCACTTTCAGTTGATGGAATTATTATGTGAATTTTGATAATGCTAGTGCCTATAACCATCAAATCATAATAAATTACTGATTAGACTACTTTTTGTGTGTGTTTATCTGCGTACTGGAGAAATTTCAAATTTATTTTATTTTAATGATTAGTGACGCCCAAATACTACAGACTCGTTCGGTCATTCCATTCTTTGTATTCCAAAATGTACTAAATTACTAATCGATGAAAGATCTATAATTTTTCTGTTGAGTGCATATGTATTTTTCCGTAAAAACAAAAAATCACATTTTTTCCGCAACAACATGTGTTTTTCCGTCAAAACAAAGAAATTAAATTTTTTCATCAAAATTAAAAAATTTCATCTTTCTCTAAACACAAAAAATCGTATTTTCCTATCAAAATCAAAAAAATTATTTTCCTGCAAAAACCGAGAAATCTTCTATTCCCGCCAAAACAAAACAAAAATTAATTTTCTCGTCAAACCAAGAATCACGCATTCTTACCAAAACCGATAAACTACAATTTCTCGCGAAAACTAAAAATTGCATTATCTCCTGAGAAATTGCGTTTCCCGTGAAAACTAATAAATCATATTTTTCCGCGAAAACCAAAAAATCACATTATATGTCAAAAACTGAAAATTTGCATTTCCCATCAAAACCGAAAAAATTGTTTATTCCCACCAAAATCGAGAAATTTTGTTTTACCATCAAACCGAGAAATTGTATTTTTCGCCAAAATTGTCAAATTATAATTTTCCGCGAAAACTAAGAAATCACGTTTTTCCGCATCACATTATCCATCAAAAGCCGAAAATCTGCATTTCCTATCAAAACCTAGAAATCGTATTTTTCGTCAAAATTGAAAAATTGTATTTCCCTCGCATTTTCGTCAAAACTAAGATATTTTGTTTTCATGTCAAAATCAAGAAATAAATTCTCACCAAAATCAAAAATTCAATTTTTTCGCCAAACCCGAAAATTCATTTTTTTGGCATAACTGAGAAATTATGTTTTCCTACTAAAACTGAAAATCACATTTTCCTACCGAAATCCAGAAATTCTCTATGTGAAAACTCAAGTTCGATCTATGAAAGAACTAGGGTTTGAGGGTTTTAAAGAGATCTTTTATTAGAAGAAGCCGGAGCTTGATAGAATACAGCGGTGTTTAGGTTGTCGGAATAAGAACGCCGACCTAAAACTCTTAAGGAAAGTAAACCAAAAGCTAGAACAGTCTGATTGCTTAGTTTGCTCTAGGTCTTGATCAATGATTTTTGGATGTTTTGAGAAGTCGAGGACTTCCTGCATTTATAGCCGATCAGGTCGGTCTTCAACCTGTTTGGAATAGGAAACTCTTGTCGGCAAGGAGTTTCCTTTTTCCCCGGATCATCAATAAATGGAAGATTTCTATTTATGTTGCCGACCTGGAACTTGTTAGACGGGCCGATTAGAATTCATATCAGGCTTGTTAGAGACGGCACGAATCTCATCTCTCTAACAGTAAAGTCCCCCCCCCCCCCCCCCCCCCCCCCCCCCCCCCCCCAGTTCGGCAAGTGAGGATGCATTGCTTGTCGAATTTAAAGAAAATGCTGCTCGATGTGAATTCTGGTCGGCTGCAAAAGAGTTAGAAATATAAATAAAATTATTACCTGGGCTTCTGATCGGCGCGATGATGAGGGCCAGATTGTAATTTTGGGCGCAAAAAGTTCCCGCCTAAAAATGATGTAGATTAGGCCCAGGCCCGTGTATGCAGAACTAGAGTTGACACGTGTCAAACCCTAGCAGGAGGATGCGAAGGGGCCGATTAAAAGTATGTAGAAAAAATATGAAAGGTCGCCGAGCTCATGATGACTCTCGATAACCGTCCAGACCCTCTTATAAATAAGAGGACTTCGACTCTCACTTCTTCACTTCTGCATTCTTAGCGAAACTCTGTTGAAATCAGGTTTGCTCTCTTCTCTCTCCTTGTTATTTGCTTATTTTTAGCTAAAAGTTTTTTCCGATCAGACCTCTGCCGCGTTTCGTTCATTCTCAACCGCTCGATTTCTCCGATTTGCGAAAACGTCGTAATAGTCAGATATGAGCAAGTGTGTGAAGATCTGCGAGAGCCGACCAGAGGGTAGAGCGGTTATATCGGCTAAGGAGAAAGCCGACGAGATCGGTGTTTCTCTAGAAGAATTTCTTCAGATGGAGAAAGACGACCAGGCCGTGAGAGGCCGATCGAAGGGAAAAGAGATCGCGAACAATGTAGCGTCAGATCGGTCCTCTGATGCTAGCGAGTTATCCGCGTTAGATCGAGCTTTCCAGGAGCGAGTCAGAGAGGAAAATCAGAGGGCAGCGACCGAGCGTTTCCATGCGGATCAGGTCGGTGCTGTTTTGAGGAACGGTGAAGCGTCGACGAGGGAACCGTTCCTGATCCCCGAACTGCGAGATGAGACGGACGAGAGGGGCGGATCGAACGAGATGGACATCTCCGACGAGCTGAATACACTCATTGCTGAAGATGAAGCGAATCAGTTCGGGATTGTCGATTTGAATCCTCCTGTTAAAAAGGTCAAGGGGAAGAAAGGCGAGCCGAAACCGAAACCGACTTGTGATAATCTCCTTGGGGCATTGCCAACAAAATCGACTATGGAGTCTTTGGTAACATTGAAGGAAGAGTGT